CGACTACTCGCGTTACACCACAGTCTTCCCCTTGCGCAGCAAGGGTGATGTCACTGAGGTGCTGATCGACTGGATCCGCGCCGCTCGTCTCCAGCTCAGGCAGAGCTTTGGCTCGGACTTTCCTGTGTTGCGTCTGCACTCGGACAGGGGCGGAGAGTTTTCCTCTGGCCTTCTGAGTGCCTACAGTCGTGCGCAAGGCATCCGCCAGACCTTCACGCTTCGGGACTCACCGCAGCAAAATGGGATTGCAGAGCGCCGCATTGGCATGGTCATGGACGTCGCTCGTACGTCTATGATGCATGCGGCTGCCCCCCATTTTATGTGGCCGTTTGCGGTCAGGTACGCGGCGCATCAGATCAACCTCCACCCCAGGGTCTCTAGGCCGGAGACCTCCCCAGCCCTGCTGTGGACGGGGAAGGTTGGCGATGCGTCGCCGTTCCGGGTCTGGGGATCTCGGGCGTTTGTCCGCGACTTGTCTGCGCACAAGGTGTCCCCTCGCGCTGCTCCCTGCGTCTTCCTGGGGTTCCCCCCCGACGCCCCTGGGTGGTAGTTCTACCACCCCACCTCTCGACGTGTTCTGTCCTCCCAGGATGTCACGTTCGACGAGTCGGTACCCTTCTACCGCCTCTTCCCCTACCGCACTCCGTCCCTCCCCCCGCCCCCGCTATTCTTAGTACCAGCTCCCCCCCCAGTCGACCCCCTCCCCCCTCAGGGTCCTGCCCCTTAAGTAGTGTCCCAGGTAGACGCGGTTGAGCCTGTCGAGGTCACTGGTGACTCTGGTGCTGCTGCGGGAGCTAAGCCTGGGGGTGCTGTGCCCGGGGGTGCTGAGCCTGGGGGTGCGGGGTCTGAGGGTGCTGAGTCTGGGGGTGCTGAGCCTGGGGGTGCTGAGCCTGGGGGTGCTGAGCCTGGGGGTGCTGGGCCAGGGGGTGCTACGCCTGGAGGTGCTTTGCCTGGGGGTGCTGAGCCTGGAGGTTCTTCGCCTGGAGGTTCTCCGGGTGCTTCGTCTCGCCGAGAGCCAATCTCCTCACAGGAGCTGCGTGAGTGGTTTTCTCGGCGCTGGAAGCGTGCTGCTGGTGCTGGAGGTTCTTCTGCTGCTGAGGGTGCTGCTGCCGCAAGTCCCGGATGTGCTCGTAATGGGAGTAGTGGAGCTGCTGGGCCTGCGGGTTCGCCTGGAGCTTGTGCTGCTGAGGGTGCTGGCGCTGAGACTACCACTGGTGGTTCGACTGGCGGTGCTCCTAGTGCTGCTGGAGTTTCTGGGGCTGCTGGAGGTGCTGCTGGAGGTGCTGCTCGAGCTACTGGAGGTGCTGCTGGAGCGGGTACTCCTGCCGGGGGTGCTAGTGCTGTCCCTGCTGTTTCTGGCGTCCCCACGCGGCCCCGACCGTACTTCGTACCGCTCCTGTAGCAGGTTCTTGGTCTTCCACCTTCTCCTGGTCCTCCTCCTCCTCCCTTAGAAGGTCCACAGGGCATCCAGTCACTTCTACAGCCTGCCTCCCCTTTGCCTGCTCCTTCTCCCTACGCTGGTCCGACTTTAGGTCTTACTGAGCGTCGTGAGCTTGCGTCTCGTCCTGCGTCGCCTGTTCGTACTGCGCGCACTAGTGGTCGCGGCTCGCGTCAGCGTCCGCCTCCTGTCCCTTGCACGCACCGGATGTCTCTACGTCCGTCCACTGCTCCTCTACGTGCCCCTTTGCCTTCTCCTCCTTCTTCCTCTCTTCCTGCTCTTGCCGACCCGGAGTCGGACTCTCTTCGTGCTGCCAGTCCTACTGTCACGCGTCTCCTTGCTACTGCTGTCACTAACCCTTCTTTCGAGTCTTCTGTTGCGTCTGCCCTTGTCACTCAGCTCGTCGACTTTGCTGCGCGCTGTCGTCTAGACTACGCTGCTGGTCTTGTCGCTGAGTCTGAGTGTGTCTGTCCTCCGTCCGTCGCGGGTGAGTGTGCCCTTGGCACGGACGTCCTTGAGGACAGGCAGGAGGAGTTTCAATGTCTGGCCGCCGCTTCACCTCATCTCGCATCTGTACTGCTAGCCCATGAGGGAGACCCAGATGCACTAGACATCCCGACTCCGCGCTCTTACGCGGAGGCGATAGAGGGTCCCTACTCCTCTCAGTGGCAGGCAGCTATGGATGCAGAGATGGCTTCCTGAAAGTCCACAGGCACCTACGTTGACACTGTTCCCCCTCCTGGGGCGAACATCGTCAGTGGCATGTGGATTTTCAGGGTGAAGCTGCCGCCGGGTTCTCCGCCTGTCTTCAAGGCGCGGTACGTGGCTCATGGTTTCAGTCAGCGGCAGGGAGTTGACTACTTCCAGACCTTCTCGCCCACCCCGAAGATGACCACTCTTCGGGTACTGCTGCACCTTGCTGCTCACCGTGACTACGAGCTGCACTCTCTCGACTTCAGCACTGCTTTCTTGCAGGGCAGCCTGCACGAGGAGATCTGGCTGCGTCGCCCACCTGGCTTCACTGGGTCTTTCCCTCCTGGTACCCAGTGGAGTCTCCGGCGTCCAGTCTACGGTCTCCGCCAGGCGCCGCGTGAGTGGCACGACACACTGAGGACTACGCTGGCGGCACTTGGGTTTGCTCCCTCCACTGCAGACCCGTCGCTGTTTCTGCGCACCGACACCTCTCTGCCGCCGTTCTACATCCTCGTGTACGTCGACGACTTGGTCTTTGCCACAGCTGACACTGCTGGACTCGCCTACGTGAAGTTCGAGCTGCAGAAGAGACACACGTGCACAGACCTGGGTGAACTGCGCAGCTACCTTGGCTTGCAGATCACCCGGGACAGAGCACGCCGCACCATTACCCTGACTCAGTCACACATGGTGCAGCAGGTCCTTCAGCGCTTCGGCTTCACGTACTCCTCGCCTCAGGCCACTCCTCTGCCTACTCGCCACTCGCTCTCAGCTCTGCCTTCGGATGAGTCCGTAGAGTCGAGTGGCCCGTATGCAGAGCTTGTTGGCTGCCTCATGTACCTGATGACCTGCACACGACCTGACCTTGCATACCCTCTGAGCATTCTTGCACGCTATGTTGCTCCTGGGAGACACCGACTAGAGCACATGGCTGCAGCGAAGAGGGTGTTGCGCTACTTGTGCAGTACGTCGGGCATAGGGCTAGTGCTTGGAGGGCGCAGTCCAGTGGTCCTCACTGGGCACGCAGACGCTTCTTGGGCTGACGACCAGGCTACGCAGCGGTCGCCACAGGGTTACATCTTCAGTCTTGGTTCCGGCTCTGTTTCGTGGCGGGCTACCCACTCGTCTTCTGTTCTCGGCTCCAGTTGTGAGGCTGAGATCTACGCCGGGGCCATGGCTGCACAGGAGTTACGCTGGCTCACCTACCTGCTGACCGACCTTGGAGAGCCGCCTCGTTCTCCTCCAGACCTGTACGTAGACAACAAGGCCATGCTGGCCTTGTGTCGAGAGCAGCGACTGGAGCACAGGACAAAGCACCTTGCTCTCCGCTACTTTCTTGCTCGTGAGCTACAGCAGCGTGGACAGTTGCGACTTGCGTACGTGGCCTCTGAGGCCAAAACTGCTGATGTCTTCACCAAGGCACTTGCGCCTTGTGATCATCAGCGCTGCTGCACGCAGCTGGGTCTTGTGCCTGTCTTACCTCACTTGCTCACTTCTTGACCTTGCTTGTACCTTGACCTATATATACTCTTGTTCTTGCTTGCTTGACTCTTGTATATCTCTATATATGATATTGCATGTGAACTGGCGTTGTGGCCTTTGAACTTGTGCTCGGAATGTGTGGTGACTTTGTGATCCACCATGAGCTTTGCTTTGCTTTGCTTGACTGGTCTTGTGACCCCTTGTTCTCCCCCACTTTGCCTATGGGGGTGTGTCAGAACATTATAGCTTATATATATTTGTGTAGGCTATAGTGGGGCATCCCATAGGGGGTACAACCCTATTAGGGTTTCCTATATGTACTCACTTCATTCATAGTTGATTCATTCTCGTTCTAACTTTCTCACGTTTCCCCTATTACTATGTCGTTGCACGTTCCTTTGCTTTCTCGCAGAACGAGCGGCTGCGATTATGGAGGTATGCAGTATCCCCTTCAATATAGTATCGTTTACAGTATGTTTGTTTCCCCCATTTATTCATGTGAAATTGATGGTATGTCACCCTTTTTCCTTGTATTCTCAACAAGCAGGTGCATATCCGTGGTAAAGATTATTTGAATAAACTGTGCTGGTTCGACACCATTTCCGCGCCGCCACCACTTCCGCGTGGCAGAAATCTTTCGTCCCTATATCAAGCTTGCAAGAGTATAATCACGTGAAGAGATTAATATTATTTGTATGATTATGCCATTCATGATGTCCTGGTTTACCAAGCAGTAAAGGTGATAATTTCAAAATGTGTTTTTGGTTTTCTTCTACGGTGCTTTTCCTCGTGGAAAAGGCCTTTCACCCTTTAATGTGTGTTTGTTGGTTTTGTGTTGTCAGGTTATTTTAGCCATGTGTGATATCTATCTTTACTGGGGCAAATGTACAAAGCACCATCATGCTAACTTGTTTCTTTTGTAGCCAAGCTGTATTTGCAGTTTGGCTGTTATGGTGTGATGTGGCTCTCTTGGAGGTGGGTTTTTTTAGGTGTGTGTGTTGTAGAATGTTTGGGAACTTTTGTGGCGAGCATGATCTTGATCTTCTGATTTTTGTTGGAAACATGATTTGATAAGATTGAAACATGGTTTTATAAAATGGTAGAGTTGTACACATTAAAGCCCAGAGTCAGCATGGTAATTTATCAAGTTATGTGGGTTTGAAATAGTGTTGGCGAAACCTTGAAAACAAGAATTTCGGCTAAGTCACTGTAGCGAGAAAAATATCGATTGGCGAGGGGGAAAGGAGTCTCGCCAAACATGAAGCGACGGTGAACGACACTGTGCAGCTTTGACGGATTTGCAAGCATTGTGGAGCGACTGGAAGGAGCGTCGCAACGATCGTTATTCAGCCAATCAGGTTCAAGTAGTGGAGAAGGTCTACGCACAATGCGACTACTAGCAAAAACGAAAACGGGAAGCACCAACACGAGTGAGGAGAAAGAACAGCACAATCAATCAAGCTAACTACTTGGTGTGAAATAACCGCAGGAGCTAACAACAAGGAAACGTGCAAACGAAGGTGACATGCCAGAAAATGTACATGCTGAGTCGCAGGAAGGAGCGTTGAGAAGAGCGCGACACAGCGCGATATGGCCTCTTGCACATCGATTGCCTCTGGCATATCGATTGCCTCTAGCAGCACGTAGGTCGACGGTTTCGGGGCATCGCGAACATATATTGGGCTCGAAAGTGCCTATTACTTAGGGCAATGCCACGCTGGGGGCGTCCACAATACGCATACCCTTAGGGTTACGCAATTCTACTCTGTCAGCCACCGGGCGCCCACGGGCGGGTAGCAGCGCGCGAAATACAGAGACGACCATCCCCCTCACCGGTTTACGCGCAGCTCGCGCCACTGGTCGTCTAGCAGCGCGTCAACTCACAAACGTCCAGCGCACACACTATGCTATTCGAATAGCAGCGTGGAGAGGGCGCTAGAACGAGGCACCACCACGCCAGGACAGGTACACGTGCTCCGCGCCCCTGCAGTCTGCGCTCTGCCCCCTCCGCCCCCTGCGTTCTGCCCCCTGCGCTCTGCTCTATGAGCCCTGCGCTCTGCGCCCTATTCTCTGCGCCCTATGCACTGCGCCCTATGCTCGGCGCCCTATGCACTGCGCCCCATGCTCTGCGCCCTATGCTCTGCGCCCAATGCTCAGCGCCCTATGCTCTGCGCCCCATGCTCTGCGCCCCATGCTCTGCGCCCTATGCTCTGCGCCCCATGCTCTGCGCCCTATGCTCTGCGCCCCATGCTCTGCGCCCTATGCTCTGCGCCCCATGCTCTGCGCCCCATGCTCTGCGCCCTATGCTCTGCGCCCCATGCTCTGCGCCCTATGCTCTGCGCCCCATGCTCTGCGCTCTATGCTCTGTTCCCCATGCTCTGCGCCCTATGCTCTACACCCATGGCCCACCCTTTCTCACCCTCATCCCTGCTTCACCTCATTTCCCTCCCTGCTTCACCTCATTTCCCTCCCTGCTTCACCTCATTTCCTTCCCTGCTTCACCTCATTTCCCTCACTGCTTCACCTAACCTCCCTCACTGCTTCACAATATTTCCCTCACTGATTCACCTCATTTCCCTCACTGCTTCACCTCATTTCCCTCCCTGCTTCACCTCATTTTCCTCACTGCTTCACCTCATTTCCCTCACTGCTTCACCTCATTTCCCTCACTTCTTCACCTCATTTCCCTCCCTGCTTCACCTCATTTCCCTCACTGCTTCACCTCATTTCCCTCCCTGCTTCACCGCATTTCCCTCACTGCTTCACCTCATTTCCCTCCCTGCTTCACCGCATTTCCCTCCCTGCTTCACCTCATTTCCCTCACTGCTTCACCTCATTTCCCTCCCTGCTTCACCGCATTTCCCTCAGTGATTCACCTCATTTCCCTCCCTGCTTCACCTCATTTCCCTCCCTGTTTCACCTCATTTCCCTCACTGCTTCACCTCATTTCCCTCACTGCTTCACCTCCTTTCCCTCACTGCTTCACCGCATTTCCCTCCCTGCTTCACCTCATTTCCCTCACTGCTTCACCTCATTTCCCTCACTGCTTCACCTCATTTCCCTCCCTGCTTCACCTCATTTCCCTCACTGATTCACCTCATTTCCCTCACTGCTTCACCTCATTTCGCTCCCTGCTTCACTTCATTACCCTCACTGATTCACCTCATTTCCCTCACTAATTCACGTCATTTCCCTCACTGCTTCACCTCATTTCCCTCCCTGCTTCACCTCATTTCCCTCCCTGCTTCACCTCATTTCCCTCACTGCTTCACCTCATTTCCCTCCCTGCTTCACCGCATTTCCCTCACTGCTTCACCTCATTTCCCTCCCTGCTTCACCGCATTTCCCTCACTGCTTCACCTCATTTCCCTCACTGCTTCACCTCATTTCCCTCCCTGCTTCACCGCATTTCCCTCACTGCTTCACCTCATTTCCCTCACTGCTTCACCTTATTTCCCTCCCTGCTTCACCTCATTTCCCTTCCTGCTTCACCTCATTTCCCTCCCTGCTTCACCGCATTTCCCTCCCTGCTTCACCTCATTTCCCTCCCTGCTTCACCTCATTTCCCTCACTGCTTCACCTCATTTACCTCACTGCTTCACCTGATTTCCCTCCCTTCTTCACCTCATTTCCCTCCCTGCTTCACCGCATTTCCCTCCCTGCTTCACCGCATTTCCCTCACTGCTTCACCTCATTTCCCTCCCTGCTTCACCGCATTTTCCTCCCTGCTTCACCTCATTTCCCTCACTGCTTCACCTCATTTCCCTCACTGCTTCACCTAATTTCCCTTACTGCTTCACCTCATTTCCCTCACTGCTTCACCGCATTTCCCTCCCTGCTTCACCGCATTTCCCTCACTACTTCACCTCATTTCCCTCCCTGCTTCACCTCATTTCCCTCCCTGCTTCACCTCATTTCCCTCCCTGCTTCACCGCATTTCCCTCCCTGCTTCACCTCATTTCCCTCCCTGCTTCACCTCATTTCCCTCACTGCTTCACCTCATTTCCCTCACTGCTTCACCTCATTTCCCTCCCTGCTTCACCTCATTTCCCTCCCTGCTTCACCGCATTTCCCTCCCTGCTTCACCGCATTTCCCTCACTGCTTCACCTCATTTCCCTCCCTGCTTCACCTCATTTCCCTCACTGCTTCACCTCATTTCCCTCACTGCTTCACCTCATTTCCCTCACTGCTTCACCTCATTTCCCTCACTGCTTCACCTCATTTCCCTCACTGCTTCACCGCATTTCCCTCCATGCTTCACCTCATTTCCCTCCCTGCTTCACCTCATTTCCCTCCCTGCTTCACCTCATTTCCCTCACTGCTTCACCTCATTTCCCTCACTGCTTCACCTCATTTCCCTCACTGCTTCACCTCATTTCCCTCCCTGCTTCACCTCATTTCCCTCAGTGCTTCACCTCATTTCCCTCCCTGCTTCACCTCATTTCCGTCACTGCTTCACCTCATTTCCCTCCCTGCTTCACCTCATTTCCCTCACTGCTTCACCTCATTTCCCTCACTGCTTCACCTCATTTCCCTCCCTGCTTCACCTCATTTCCCTCACTTCTTCACCTCATTTCCCTCCCTGCTTCACCTTATTTCCCTCACTGCTTCACCTCATTTCCCTCCCTGCTTCACCGCATTTACCTCACTACTTCACCTCATTTCCCTCCCTGCTTCACCGCATTTCCCTCCTGGCTTCACCTCATTTCCCTCACTGCTTCACCTCATTTCCCTCACTGCTTCACTTCATTTCCCTCACTGCTTCACCTCATTTCCCTCACTGATTAACCTCATTTCCCTCACTGCTTCACCGCATTTCGCTCCCTGCTTCACCTTATTTCCCTCACTGCTTCACCTTTTTTCCCTCACTGCTTCACCTCATTTCCCTCCCTGCTTCACCTCATTTCCCTCACTGCTTCACCCCATTTCCCTCCCTGCTTCACCGCATTTCCCTCCCTGCTTCACCTCATTTCCCTCACTGCTTCACCTCATTTCCCACACTGCTTCACCTCATTTCCCTCACTGCTTCACCTCATTTCCCTCCCTGCTTCACCGCATTTCCCTCACTGCTTCACCTCATTTCCCTCACTGCTTCACCTCATTTCCCTCCCTGCTTCACCTCATTTCCCTCCCTGCTTCACGTCATTTCCCTCACTGCTTCACCTCATTTCCCTCACTGCTTCACCGCATTTCCCTCCCTGCTTCACCTCATTTCCCTCACTGCTTCACCTCATTTCTGTCACTGCTTCACCTCATTTCCCTCCCTGCTTCACCTCATTTCCCTCACTGCTTCACCGCATTTCCCTCCCTGCTTCACCGCATTTCCCTCACTGCTTCACCTCATTTCCCTCCCTGCTTCACCTCATTTCCCTCACTGCTTCACCTCATTTCCCTCACAGCTTCACCTCATTTCCCTCACTGCTTCACCTCATTTCCCTCACTGCTTCACCTCATTTCCCTCACTGATTCACCTCATTTCCCTCACTGCTTCACCTCATTTCCCTCACTGCTTCACCTCATTTCCCTCACTGATTCACCTCATTTCCATCAGTGCTTCACCTCATTTCGCTCCCTGCTTCACCTCATTTCCCTCACTGCTTCACCTCATTTCCCTCCCTGCTTCACCTCATTTCCCTCCCTGCTTCACCTCATTTACCTCCCTGCTTCACCTTATTTCCCTCACTGCTTCACCTCATTTCCCTCACTGATTCACCTCATTTCCATCAGTGCTTCACCTCATTTCGCTCCCTGCTTCACCTCATTTCCCTCACTGCTTCACCTCATTTCCCTCACTGCTTCACCTCATTTCCCTCACTGCTTCACCTCATTTCCCTCACTACTTCACCTCATTTCCCTCACTGATTCACCTCATTTCCATCAGTGCTTCACCTCATTTCGCTCCCTGCTTCACCTCATTTCCCTCACTGCTTCACCTCATTTCTCTCACTGCTTCACCTCATTTCCCTCAGTGCTTCACCTCATTTCCCTCACTGCTTCACGTCATTTCCCTCACTGCTTCACGTCATTTCCCTCACTGCTTCACCTCATTTCCCTCCCTGCTTCACCTCATTTCCCTCACTGCTTCACCTCATTTCCCTCACTGCTTCACCTCATTTCCCTCACTGCTTCACCTCATTTCCCTCACTGCTTCACCTCATTTCCCTCCATGCTTCACCTCATTTCCCTCACTGCTTCACCTCATTTCCCTCACTGCTTCACCTCATTTCCCTCCCTGCTTCACCTCATTTCCCTCCCTGCCCTACCGCATTTCCCTCCCTGCTTCACCTCATTTCCCTCACTGCTTCACCGCATTTCCCTCACTGCTTCACCTCATTTCCTTCCCTGCTTCACCTCATTTCCCTCCCTGCTTCACCTCATTTCCCTCCCTGCTTCACCTCAATTCCCTCCCTACTTCACCTCATTTCCCTCACTGCTTCACCTCATTTCCCTCCCTGCTTCACCTCATTTCCCTCACTGCTTCACCTCATTTCCCTCCCTGCTTCACCTCATTTCCCTCCCTGCTTCACCTCATTTCCCTCCCTGCTTCACCTCATTTCCCTCCCTGCTTCACCTCATTTCCTTCCCTGCTTCACCTCATTTCCCTCACTGCTTCACCTCATTTCCCTCCCTGCTTCACCTCATTTCCCTCCCTGCTTCACCGCATTTCCCTCCCTGCTTCACCTCATTTCCCTCACTGCTTCACCTCATTTCCCTCACTGCTTCACCGCATTTCCCTCCCTGCTTCACCTCATTTCCCTCATTGCTTCACCTCATTTCCCTCACTGCTTCACCTCATTTTCCTCACTGCTTTACCTCATTTCCCTCACTGATTCACCTCATTTCCCTCACTGCTTCACCTCATTTCCCTCACTGCTTCACCTCATTTCCCTCACTGATTCACCTCATTTCCATCAGTGCTTCACCTCATTTCGCTCCCTGCTTCACCTCATTTCCCTCCCTGCTTCACCTCATTTCCCTCACTGATTCACCTCATTTCCCTTCCTGCTTCACCTCATTTCCCTCCCTGCTTCACCTCATTTCCCTCACTGCTTCACCTCATTTCCCTCCCTGCTTCACATCATTTCCCTCCTTGCTATCTCTGTTTGTACCCTTCTGCTTCCCTTGTTTTCCCCCCAGCTTCCTCTCATTTCCCTCCCCCCACCCCCCCCCGTTTCCCCTCATTTTCCCCATTGCTGGCCCCTCGTTTCCCTCCCTTGCTTTCCCTGGTTTCCCCCCCTGCTTCCCCTCGTTCCCCCCTTGCTTTCCCTTGCTTCCCCCCTTGCTTCCCCTCGTTTCCCCCCTTGCTGTCTTTCGTTTCCCCCCCTGCTTCCCCTCGTTTCCCCCTCTTCTTCACGTCGTTTCATCTTCCTATCTCAGTGCTCGTCGTAGGGTCCACGAGACGGCAACCATGGCGGCCGCCCAGCTCTTATCCGACACTCTCAAGCAGTGCTCGGCTGATGGCGTGGCGCAGATAACTGGGGTGATTCGGGAGTGGATGGCGATGCAGCAGTCGCAGACCAGTCGCCCCCTCCACTTCTTGGGATCCCGCCACGGCGACGATGACAGCTGGCATTACAACCGTGAGGGCAGCGAGGGCAACACCAATGCCGACCTCAGTGACGGGGTTGAAGAGTGGCGTCGCGGCGACGATGCTTAAGGTAAGCGTCGTGAAGGGTCATTCCAAGCCTCTTACGCCGCTCTTTTAGCTCTGTCTGCGTATCTGTCTCACATGCACTCTAGTTGTACACAGCAAGCTCGCCCCTCGACCACCATGGGTCGCGGTTGAGTGCAATTGCTTCCCATTTGTGGTTCGGGTTTTTCATCCGTGAACCGGCCATCGAAATCCCCATGTTGTGCAAGATTACGACACAACTGGCCCCGGCGAGTACGCGCCATAGCGCACAGTCGTGTCGGCCGGCGAAAAGGCGGTAGCGGCCTTTAAACTGACCGATGGTGCGCTCGACGGACATTCGGGTGGCGGACTGGCAGTATTTGTATGTCTGTTCCCACTCGAACATCAGGCGGCCAGTGGGTGCATGTAAGGGGGTGAGACAATAGTCGCGGAGGGGATAAGCTGCATCTCCAACCAGCTGGTACGGGGAAATGTCGCCTCGTTCTAGTCTTTCGTAGAGGCTAGATTTGATGAACACTCTCTGATCGTGTGCTGTGCCGGGATACCCGATGAGGTAATCCCAAATGATCCCTCTAGCATCGCATGTGATCTGCAATTGAACCGCGTACTGTGATTAGCGGGTGTAATATTCAGTCCGATGCCCTTCCTTCCCTCTGATTTGAATATGTGTGCCATCTATTGCACCCACTACTGCTGGAACACCCTTTATGCTCCTAAACTCTTCTGCCATCGTCCGCATCTCTTCTTGTGATGGAAATCGGACCCAGTCCGATTTAAAGACGCGCGGGAAGTTTGTGAGGAAAATGTCTACAAGTAAGTGGCATATCGTCTTCAGAACCCCAAACCAGAACGCGATGTCAATGTACGACAGGGCGCTCGCAAAGTATTTGATCGGCACAAGTATGGCGATGCTAATCGGTAAGGGTTTAGAACTGAGCGCATTCCTTCACTGATGTAGTCTAGAATGGATCGATTGATTCTGAACAAGTCCATGAAAACCTCCTCTGGCATCGCCTCCATTTCATCCACCCATATCCCTAGGCGTCACCGCCTCAGACCTCGATTCCGTGCCCGGATCGCACTACGGGATTCTCCGCTAGTTTCCTCATTTGCGGCCTGGTCTATCTGCTCGAGCAACTCAGTACAAGCTTTCGTAGCAAGCGCGAGGAAGGTGTCGTAATAAAAAGCATGCCACACAATTAAGAGTCTAGGGAGAAAAGGCACATCATTCATGGTGGCTGGAGGTAATTAATAACCCATTTAGCTGGTTCTCGACAGTTTATCATCAGTTGCAGCGGGAGGCGAGTCCGTTCCCGCTTGTTATGCTTTGGCTAGAGTAGATGGGACTGGTGCTGCAGGAATGCTTACGTGGTGGTGGTGATGGTTTAGTCTGGCACTAGACGGGCGTGTCCTTGCGCACATTTACAGGGTTGGGTCGCATGGTGCCACATCAGCGCTCATTTACAGTCGCGCAACAGCTCAAACCGGCAAGTACATCTGACAAGAGGTTTTGGCGAACTTGCAAATTTACATGCGAGAATTGCTAGGCTGATATGAGGCAGCTCTGATATGGGGCCGTAGGAACACGCCTTCACACTTTCCCTCTCCCCCTCTTCCTACCTCCCCTCTTCCATATCCTCCCTTTTTTTACGGTACTTATGTCTTTCCCTCTCAGCCCTGCTTTCCTCTCCCCCCTCTTCCCTATCTCCCTTGTTTGACTTTAGTCTTGTTCCCCCTCCCCATCCCTCGTATTCCCTCCCTCTCCCTGGGTAGTGAAGTGACACCAATGAAGATTTTCTGGCACTGCAACTCGCCAAAGCCCATCATCCCATCCCTCATGTTTTTTTCAAGTCCTTGAGAAGGGTACAATCAAAAGTAGAATCATGCCTCTATCTACCCTTCTGACACTCTTGCCCTTGCATCTTGAAAGAATATATTGCACTGCGGAAACATATTGCGCTTTTGAAATGGATATCTCCAACAGTAATACAGTATCATGCTTGCATACAACACATAAGAAACAGGTGGTGGTATGGCGTAAAGCATGGACTAGCTCTAGCTGCGCCTCAGCTTGCTCCTCTGCTTCACCACTGAAAATTTGGAGAGTGGAGTAGGCAGAAAGAATTGTGAGATGGAACATGGGGGAAGTGGTGTGAGGTGCCAAGGGAACAACTGCAGGGGAACACAAGCAAGCGCACATGATGAAAGCATGTACCGGTATGGGGAGACAGTGATGGGTGCACATGCACGGTAACTGGAGGGCGGAAGATGAGGGGGAAGGTGAGGGCATGACATGAAAGGGAAGGTTTGAGAAGGGATGGAGAAGGGAAGGGCAGGGCAGGGAGGGAAAGGCAGGGATGGGGAGGGCAGGTGGGAACATGGGTGGGTGTGAGGGGAAGGAGGGCTGAGGGTGGTGGGGAGGAGAGTGCGAGTGCGAGAGGACGGAGAGAGAGAGAGTGCGAGAGGACTGAGAGGTGTGAGTGCGGGAGGAAGGAGAATGAGAGTGATGGGAGGCAGCAGGGGGGGAAGGAGGGAAGGGGATGGGGGGAAGCAGGGAAGGGGATGGGGGGAAGCAGGGGAAGGGACGAGGGGAAGCAGGGAAGGGGATGAGGGGAAGCAGGGAAGGGGATGGGGGGAAGCAGGGAAGGGGATGGGGGGAAGCAGGGGAAGGGACGAGGGGAAGCAGGGAAGGGGATGGGGGGAAGCAGGGAAGGGGATAGGGGGAAGCAGGGAGGGGGATGGGGGGAAGCAGGGTAGGGCATGGGGGAAAGCAGGGAAGGGGATGGAGGGAAGCAGGGAAGGGGATGGGGGAAAGCAGGGGAGGGGACGAGGGGAAGCAGGGAAGGGGATGGGGGGAAGCAGGGAAGGGGATGGGGGGAAGCAGGGCAGGGGATACGGGGTAAGAGGGGATAGGATGGGGGGAAGCACGGCAGGGGATACGGGGAAACAGGGAAGAGGATGGGGGGAACGGGGGCAGATGCCGGGGAGAGAGCTGGGGGGAGGATGGTGGGGAGCAGAGAGGGAATCAAAACGCTGTTCGATTGTGGTGGCGGAAGCGACCACCTTTGTTTCTCCCCATCTGTTCCTCCCCATCTGTTCCTCCCCATCTGTCCCACCCCTTCGGATGGAATGAGGGAGGAAGGATGGGCTGGAGGTGGTGAGATGGGGAGAGGGGAAGAGCGGATGGAAACACGGATGACGAGGGGAAGCGCGAGTGACTGGGAGGCAAGCCCGACGACGGGAAGCGCGGGCGACGAGGGGAGGCGAGGGCGGCGAGGGTCGGCACGGGTGATGAGGGGAAGCGCGAGCGACGAGAGGGAATGTCGGTGACAAGGGAGGTGAGGGCGGCGAGGATCGGTGTGGGTCGACGAGGGTGATGAGAGGAGCGCGGGTGACGATCTGAAGCGCTGTATGTTTACTACTGGCAATTGCGACGAGGGGATGTGTGGTTAACGTGGGAGAGCGTGGGCAACTACGGGAACATATGCGACCAGAGGGTCGGGGAGGGTAATGAGGGAAAGCACGGGCGACGAGGAAAGCGGTCTGACGTGGGCAAGAGCGGCCGACGAGGAGGAACATGTGCGACTAACGGCTGAGTGCGTTACGCGAACCAGTACGGCATTCGCGTGAGCGACCCGTGCCTAAAACGGTACGATCGTGACACGAGGCTGAATGGCAGCAAGTGTGACAAGATCCTGCGTGTGCGACGCGAGCTTGAATGCAAGACTCGAGTAACGCGAATCTCGTTGACTAACGTAAGTGCCGTGGGTGTACGGGTTGTAACACGAGACCGGTGACGTGAGGGAGAGATTAGAGCGTGCACTGACTAAGATGGTTGAGGTGGACTTATATTTCCTTCCGCACAAAAAAAAACACCTATCAACGACTCGCTTTTGCCAACTAGCACTAGTTTTTGCCTTGGAGCCTCCTAGCCTATGAGTACTACTTGGTAAGCAAGTTATGTGAGTGGTGAATAGTACAAATGGTTGGCGATCATCGCGTCAGTTCTGGTTTTGGGCACTCGGGTTCCGTTGTCGCAGGACGATTGCCTGAGGTCGCGAGAACTTTCTCAAACCAAGTAGGGTAACCCTGTTATTGGCGACTTCAAGTTCAAGAATCTTGACCTTGAAAATTACCATGCTGTACTCTATCTTTAAATGCACATGCTATAGCGAGGATTTTGGCGTGGCTTTAAGTATACAATGTGACCACAGAATGACCCTAATATGCCCAGAAGGTGACCCCGAAGTCAGTTGTGGGACGGATTAGTCTGGGATCAATGTGACCCAGGGAGCCAAATGTGACCCTTAGCTGACCTGTAATTGACCCAAATGAGACCCTGATGTTACCCATACGTGGCCTCAAGGGAGCCTAAAGTGACAGTCCCAAAAGTGACTTCCGGGTTAGGACGCAATGTGACCCAAATGTTGCCTAAAAGTCACTTGGGGGTCATTTACATTTTGGTGATGTGGTTCAAAAGCCTCACCAATAGATCAAACGACATGCTTCGGTTGATTTTTTGTAGTACTGCAAGAATTGCGCGTTGAGGGCGTGTCCAGCGCGTACGTTTTCCGTACAGTACAGTTCATCCAGTACGGTAATCTGTACTGCGTCACGGTTCAAAACGGTGCAACTTTGAAACCGTTGTGCACCACTTGATATCTTTTCAAACCACGACGAATGAACTGTATAGTACCTGAAAACGTACGCGCTGGACCCGCCTTGAACGCACAGAGAGAAAAGCTACTATCACTACCTGGGTTCTCCTGGAAGCTGGCACACCACGATGGAAACGGACGGCGCTCGGCTCGGCTCACTTATCCTTCTGATTTGTCTCGTCGTGGTTCCTTTAGTCCGCTATGTCCCCTTTGCCACCTCCCAAGGTTTCGTCCTTGCACTGGCAGTTGGCTCCTAATCCTCTCCCTACAACGTCCTTTCTTGTTTCATATTGAAACAAGGCTACGGCGCTGCCGCGCACGGCGCGGCTGGCCTGGCGAGGAGAGAGCGGCGCCGTAGCTAAGAATAATAAAGAAGAACGTTCCGTAAGCCCCCGGATAGAAGCGCAGGCCTCGGATAAGCGCCGGCGCTTATAAAAGGATGAGGGCGCTTATATCAGGTCCTCGATTATAAGCGCACCCCCTAGAAAAAGATGATGTATTATAAGCGCATGTTGGTTTTTCATTTGAAAACCTTTCAAATTTCAGAAACGAATTTCACATAATCAGGGAAACGAACTACAATTTCGATTTCCCACACTTTGAACTCTTTTTTTGCGCGTCTAGTCAGCATGTGCTGTAATTTTGTCAGGGTGAGTTGGCAGGGAATCACTCGGTGCCAAGCTGCGCGAGAATCAGATTCGCGACCCTATATGTTTTCGACTCGATTACAATCGGCAGAACGAGATAAACAGTCTGGTGTAAAACAAATATATATTCTTTTTGCCATTTTATAAGCACCGGCGCTTACAAAATTCCTCAATTATAAGCGCACCCCCTAAAAAACAGTGTTTTTTTATACCCCCAGGACTGCTTCTATCCGGGGGCTGACGGTTGCAGCGGAAGGGAGAAAAGCTAGGCTAGTGCGAGAAGCCCAGCTCTGGAGACCGACTTGAGAGATCAAGAAGTAGAAAGTAGATTCCAGTGAGATGATAATACAAGATTCAGATATTAATATTTATGCTAGGAAGAAAGGATGGCAACTTGGGAGGAAAACCGCGTCGCCACTTCATCTAGCATGGCATCTTGGCATTGCGCCTCGATGCCACGCCTTGCTGTACTATTCTTCCTGACAGGGATACGGGAGTACGTCCTAGGCTAGCAAGTGGTGCAGTTCGTAGGCAGCTAGGCAAGTCCCGTTGAGAAATTCCCATGCATCTCGCATGGTGAATTCCATCCTGTTACACATATACCTCTGGTATATTCTAATTTATGCAGTGTGCGGCCAGACTCCACCGCCTTTCTTCTCTCTGCAGGAACTACTACTATCGTAACTAGTACTTGCGGCTTATGAAACAATGGGAACGAGAATTTATCAGCCCTAGTGGCACCATAGCGGACGATGTTTGACAATCTTGTAGTAGCGGCTTGGATTAAGGAAATCACAGTCTCTTACTTTGCATGACGTATCGCAGTGGCAGACTGATGGGGAGGAAAGGAAGCGAAGCACTATTACACACAGTTAATGCGTAATCCTTACCCTGTTCCTGCCCCACCTCCTCCTTCTATCCTTCTCTTGCTCCTGCTCCCCGCTCACCCACCCTCTGCCGCCAGTGCAAGTCCTGCGAGACCTCCAGCAAGCATGGGGGCGGAATTTCCCTGGGTGGGTGGCTGGGGGGGACTGCAGCTTGGCGTACACCGTGGAGTGCGATGCTCAAGGCATGGTGACTGACATGTGAGCACCAAACTCTTGCTGATCTTGCATTGGGTGCCTGTTCTCTCCCATTCCCTCAATATGTGTACTCTGTATTTACACGCTTATAAAGAGCACTATTCGCTGACACTGCAATGCAAGTGCAGCTGTGAGGATCTAGGATCGAGCTCAGAAAAGAGTGAGAGAACTGAAACGAGAATGAAATGACTAAGGGAAAGTTGGGTACAAGTACAAACCTTAGAAAGCTGTACCCCATATGTGATACCCCACAATAGCCTACAACAGCTATGTCATGTAAATCTGACACACCCCCATAGGCAAAGTGAGGGAGAACAAGGGGTCACAAGACCAGTCAAGCAAAGTAAAGCAAGCTCAGGGTGGATCACAAAGTCACCACACATTCCGAGCACAAGTTCAAGGCCACAAGGCCAGTTCACATGCAGGATTACATATATATATAAATGGCTAGACAAGCAAGAGCAGGTGTATATATATATGTAACAGTTTAAACAAGGTCAAGGGGTGAGCAAGTGAGGCAAGGCAGACACAAGACCCAGCTGAGTACAGAAGCGTTGATGATCACAAGGCGCAAGCGCCTTGGTGAAGATATCAGCAGTGTTGGCCTCAGAGGCCACGTACGCAAGACGTAGCTGACCACGCTGCTGTAGCTCACGAGCAAGGAAGTAGCGAAGAGCAATGTGCTTCGTTCTGTGCTCCAGTCTCTGCTCCCGACACAAGGCCAGCATGGCCTTGTTGTCTACGTACAGCACTGGAGGAGAACGAGGCGGCTCTCCGAGGTTAGTCAGCAGGTAGGTGAGCCAGCCAAGCTCCTGTGCAGCCATGGCTCCTGCGTAGATCTCAGCCTCACAACTGGAGCCGAGAACAGAAGACGAGCGAGTAGCCCGCCACGAAACAGAGCCGGAACCAAGGCTGAAGGTGTAACCCTGTGACGACCGCTGCGTAGCCTGGTCGTCAGCCCAAGAAGCGTCTGCGTGCCTAGTGAGGACCACCGGACTCTGCCCTCCAAGCACAAGCCCCATGCCCGACGTACTGCACAAGTAGCGCAACACCCTCTTCGCTGCAGCCATGTGCTCCGGTCTGTGTCTCTCAGGAGCAACATAGCGTCCGAGAATGATAAGAGGGTATGCAAGGTCAGGTCGAGTACAGGTCATCAGGTACATGAGGCAGCCAACAAGCTCTGGGTACGGGCCACTCGACTCTACGGACTCATCCGAAGGCAGAGCTGAGAGCAAGTGGCGAGTAGGCAGAGGAGTGGCCTGAGGCGAGGAGTACGTGAAGCCGAAGCGCTGAAGGACCTGCTGCACCATGTGTGACTGAGTCAGGGTAATGGTGCGGCGTGCTCTGTCGCGGGTGATATGCAAGCCAAGGTAGCTACGCAGTTCACCCAGGTCTGTGCACGTGTGTCTCTTCAGCAGTTCGGACTTCACGTGGGCGAGTCCAGCAGTGTCAGCTGTGGCAAAGACCAAGTCGTCGACGTACACGAGGATGTAGAACGGCGGCAAAGAAGTGTCGGTGCGCAGAAACAGCGATGGGTCTTCAGTAGAGGGAGCAAACCCAAGAGCCGCAAGTGTAGTCCTCAGTGTGTCGTGCCACTCACGCGGTGCCTGGCGGAGACCGTAGACTGGCCACCGGAGGCTCCACTGGGTGCCAGGAGGAAAAGACCCAGTGAAGCCAGGTGGGGGACGCAGCCAGATCTCCTCGTGCAGGCTGCCCTGCAAGAAAGCAGTGCTAAAGTCAAGAGAGTGCAGCTCGTAGTCGCGGTGAGCAGCTATGTGCAGCAGTACCCGAAGAGTGGTCATCTTCGGGGTGGGAGAGAAGGTCTGAAAGTAGTCAACTCCCTGCCGCTGACTGAAGCCACGAGCCAGGTAACGCGCCTTGAAGTCAGGCGGAGAACCCGACGGCCACTTCACCCTGAAAATCCACATGCCACTGACGATGTTCGCCCCAGGCGGGGGAACCTCGTCAACGTAGGTGCCTGTGGACTTCTAGGAAGCCATCTCTGCTCCATAGCTGCCTGCCACTGAGAGGAGTAGGGACCCTCTATCGCCTCCGCGTAAGAGCGCGGAGTCGGGATGTCAAGTGCATCCAGGTCTCCCTCAGGGGTAAGCAGTACGGACACGAGGTGAGGTGAAGCAGCAGCCAAACACTGCAACTCCTCCTGCCTGTCCTCAAGGACGTCCGTGCCAAGG